GTTTCAGGGTGGCGAGAGTCAATGTGCATATGTGATCTGCCTGCAGAGAAACCCACTTTATTTCTTTTTTTTTTTAGATTTTGATGCTAACGATGAGTCTTTGCTGAAAAGCAGCTTCCGTTTGGAGGAAGCTACTTTAGCACCACTTCTTGGGGTTCTGCTCGTCAGGCGCTAGTCCACCTCCTCCATGTTGCTGTAGGACGGAGCCGAGCATTCTGCAGAGGGAGCGAAAAGGTCAGAGGGAACCTCAGGGGTCAGGGTCGGCGGTTCTTCGGGGTCCAGGTCCGGCCCAAACAGTGACTGGCTGGAAGCCTGTAAAATAAAACCAGTTTAGTTCTCAGCGAGATTTAAAGCATCTGGAGGAAAATGGTGACAAATTGTACGACACAAAAACTACAGGCTGATGACTTTATTTTTATTTTTGCAAAGTTTTACTTATTACATTAAAGTCGTGTTAATTGTATAAAACAGCAGCATGTTTTTGCAAAATAATAAAAATATTTTTTAAATACAGTACATGTAATATCTCTAAAGCCAAAAACATTAGATACAGATCTTAAATTATTTAAGTCAGGATTATAATTTCTAATTTCATTTAAAACAGACCACATACACACAAGATTTTTACAAAGTCTGTAAAGGGATATGGAGAAAAACAAAAAACACATCCTGACTTACTTTTGCAACAAACATTTGTGGGATCTCGCAAAAGTAAGTCAGGATCCTGAGAAACTTCAGCAGGATCATTTTATTCTTATTTTCCCCCATGTCCCCTTATCAGCTCTGTAGGTTTTATCCTTCAGTTAGGTCAAGTTAAAACTCATTTTAATTAAAACAGTACTTATTGTGCCCAATAAAACTCCATCATAACAGTATATTGCAAGTTTTACTGCTGTTGATGATTCTTACTAAGACGCATCACTTGTTTACAGACTCAGCATTACACTGGTGATATGACGAGCACAGTAACTAAGAACTTTAAAACAAGATGGATGTCATTGCATATCTCTGAATCAAGTATATCCAGTCTGAAGGTGCTCGTAGTTAAAAAGATTAAAGGCAAATAGAGGAGTTTCTACACAAACGACCTGAAAACTGTTCAAATATCCCTGAGAGAAACACACACACACACACACACACACACACACACACACACACA